CAGGAGTCAGAAAACATGAGCTGCTTCCAATAGATATAAACCACCTACATGAAGTTATAAAAACAATGAACTGAAAGGGCTTTGCCACCTTAGCTTCTGTAATTGTCAATCTTATTATCGTTTCCCATTAACTGCTGAAATTTGGCGGACAAAAGTAAGTTTACTAAATAGTTCAGGAGGGAAAAAAGGGGGCACTGGTTTACAGAAGATGCAAGCAGCAGACAAACAGGAAACCTAGGTTAGCTGCTCTCACACCCCAGAGGCAGGCTGTTGGATATGCTTCTTTCCCTTCTAAGTCTCCTGGACCTCTGGGACAGTACCACCTCTGTAGCTTCACTGATGACTCCCGTAGGTGAGCAGGGCTCCATCCTTCCAAGGTCCCTCATTACAGGTACTGATCTAAGACCAGGAAGTAGCCTGCAATGTGCTGGGACACACACTCAGGGAGCATAGCCCACACCCTTACACCTTCCCTCCACCACCATTTCTCTTCCTGCGTGCCCAGAAGGGGTGTTCTGAGAGTTGAAAACAAGCATCCCTCAGTTGCTCTTTTTCTAGTCAGTGATCAAAGGACTGAAAAGACTCAGCTCAGGTTTTCCAAAGAAACAGGCCTGTTCTCCCTCCTAGCCAGGTCACAGTGAGATCGCCTTCATCGTTCTTGTTTCATAGCCAGAATCCACTGCCGTATTTGGGTTCCATCTGTACTTTACTGCTACAGGCTTTACATCTTGGCTTCTTCAAAAGTTATCTATGGTCTTTTACAGAACAAAAACACACACCTTGAGACCTACTGTATAGCACAAGGAATTCTGCTCAATATTATGTAAAAACCTAAATGGGAAAAGAATTTGGAAAAGAATAGATACATGTATATGTGTAACTGAATCACTTTGCTGTACACCTGAAACTATCACAACATTGTTAATCAACTATACTCCAATATAAAATAAAAAGTTAAAAAAATATATACACTTTGAGAAAGGTAGTGACGTTTGTAAGCTCCGAGGGTTTCTTCTCAAATCTAGACAGAATGTTTTCTTTGATGGAGAGATAAAGGAAAAAAACTGCATGAGCCCACACATTCTGATCCATGCATCCTTTATTCCATGAACAACCGCTGTGTCGCATCCAAGCAACAGTACACAAACTGGCAATCAACCGCAATCCAGCTGTACAACAATCTGAGGCTTACAGTACATTTAAGGCTTTTAAATTTGGGAAAAAAATTTTTTTTTAATAAAACCAATGAACCCTCAAACCCAAACCCCCAACCAACACAAGTAGTGTAGCAATTTTAAGCATCTTACACTTCTGATGCTTACTGGCGCAACTCCAGCGTCAAAACCCAAATAACTCCTAAACTAAAAGGATTAGTTTAGTGAAATTTTAATTACATAAATTTTTCAAAGCATAAACTTGTAATTTTTTGGAAATGTTATAAAATTTTTAATAGCAAAACATAGGAATAAAAACGTATTAACAAAATGTATTCAATCATTTACATTACAAACAAGGAATCTGCAGTTCATTGTTGTAGCCTGACAAAAGAAAACTATCCATTAAGAATCTATGCACAATGTAATTGCATATAGGTACAGTACTTTAAAAAAGCCTACAAGGAGGACTTTACAGAAGGTAAGTCGGCTAGGTTCTTTGTTAGACCAACCAGACGATCAAAATATTAAAACTCTGTGGACTAGTAATAAATTTACACTTAAAAAAAAACCCAGTTTCCTTTTAAGAATATTCCAGTTATATTCATATGGTTCCAGTTGATGAAGCCGTTCATGATAGTTCCAGTAAATTACCCTTTAACTGATTTGTTTGGGGGAAAGATCGGAGTGTTAACAAAAATTAATGAAGCAATTTTCATCACGATGGTTTCCAGTTACACTATCACAGCTTCACAAATGGATTTGGACCCATGAATCTAGTGGCTGAAAGAGAGCTGCAGCTCACATACTGAGAACACGGGTGGAGAGAGGCTGAGTCCTGCATAAATGAATCCTACGTGGTGGGTAAGGAATAGAAAGGGGTGTGAGCATCTTTTATAGCAGGAGAAAACGGTCCTCCCACTCAGCTCTCATTCCCATTCTGCAAGGCGATGAAGCTGGGAATCACAACTGTTCAGTTTAACATGATGTGTGAGTTAGTAGAACCTCTGGATATGAAAGACCGAGATGCCCTCAGCTCTTTGAGTAGGATGCCTGAAAAGCTGGGCACTTCCTCGTGGTCATCCCACCATGCCAGCTATCCAGTTAAAGCATGTGCAAAACCGAGGATTCTTGTGTTCACAGTAGATGAGGTAAAATCAAGTCATCTTCTTCAGGAATTAGGAAGTTCGTGAGATATGAACTGTTTTAGCCTTTCTAGGTATTGTGCATAAAGCTCTATGTCATTATGGCCAGCCCCTTCGACCCAGAGGGGCTCCACGGCCCGGGGACAGCGCTCGTACATGGCCAAGCCATGGGAGAAATCGATGACCTCGTCCTCTGTACCATGAATGACCAACACGGGAGAGGTAACTTTAGATATCTTGTCAATGCTGCAAGACAGGAAAAGGGGGAGAGGGAGGAAAAGGACTCCTTTAGTTATGCTCACAGATGACAGACATCCCACTTAATGGAACCGAGTCGATGTTCACAGGCAAGGGAGGTAAGCACGCGAGGGTGTTTTCCCCCCTCACTTTTCTAGTAATTCACTTTTTAAAAAATTAATTTTGCATTTTGCAATAATTCTGGATTTACAGGAAAGGTACAAAGATAACACAGAGCTCCTATCCACCCCAACCCCTTTCCCATAAGGCCAACACCACGCGTTACCAATAGGACACTGCTCAAAACCGAAAACCAGCATTGGTACACCACCAAACTCCGGACTTTATTTGGATTTCATGAGTTTTTCCACTGAAGTTTTCCCACTTTTTCCACTTTCCATGAAGTTTTTCCACTTTTCCTGTTCCAAGAGCCAACTGGGAATACCACACTGCATTTAGCCACATCGTGTTTCTGTTGAAGGTATTTAATTAAAAACAGAACTCCTAAATGTCGTCAGACTAGCAATCCAGTAACTAATATTCCTGATATATTCATATTTTGGAGAGAGGATTTTTTTTTTTTAAATAAACAAGCTAGACCTTAACATACCAGAATGAATATCTCTTTTGAAATCTGAGCACTGAATCCACAGCCACTCAAGTTTTCAGGACTCTTTCCGTGTAAGCCACCTTGAGCATCGATTAACAAGATCCTCAGAAACCTCATTTCATAGAAACAAATAACCTCATTTTTAAGTAAAAACCATACTATTCAGCTTGAAAACTTAAGGTACAACATCTAGATTGAATTCTGAATGATTTCTCTTTACAAAAATCAAAGCTACCCACAAAGGATGAATATTTGAGCATCTCCAAAAGAATGTGCTGCAGACTCTGAAAGCGTTTCCCAAAGAGGAATTAAGAGGACTGTAAACCTTGTTGGGCTGCGTGTGTAGGCAACCTCTCTGACAGAGGCAACTGTAATTTCACCTGCAAACACATGGAGACAGGCGACCCTCTGTCCATTCTGGCCTCCTGCCAGAGACCCCCTTACTGTTGACTTTCAGTATCTGATCCTAGCCAAAGTTACAGAGGGATCAAATTGGTACTACCCGTAGGGATCGTTTTGTTAAAAGTCATAGCTAACATTTACTCAGCATTGACCACAGCCAGGTGCTTTGCACTTTACATACAAAACCGCATTGCATCTCCAATGAGCCACAGCGAAAGAGGAAGGACCATCTCTGTTAAACCAAGGAGGTAACTGAAGCTCGGAGAGATCACTGAAGGACAGACATGAGGCTGTGGTGATAGTACAGAGCTCTGACATCCATTACACGTTCCAAAGATCTACAAACAGCTGTCACAGAGCCTTATTAACAACTCAGGAAGTTGCCAGCCACCTCAAGACATCCGGGAAGGCTGCAAAATCTCATCAGCCATGTCATTTGCCAAGATCAGGACCACTGTGGAAGGGGTCAATTCTGCAGATTAGGAATCTTGTTGAGAAATCTACTTTCCTCTTATATTTAAATTTTAAAGTGACTTCTTCTAAGAATGCAATAGTCCCGTTATATTCAATTTAAAAATCTATTTACTGACAGCTCCATGCTGCATGAGTTAGGAGACTCTCTGCAACCTGGAGGATGGATGTACCTGAGGTTAAATGCCACCAGCTGATTCTAAATGTAAAGGAGGTAAAAGAAAATAAACCACCAACCAAATAATAATCAGGACTCCTTATCTCTATTTTTTTAATACTAAAATAGAAATGGGAAAGTGCCTTCCTTTTAAAGACAGGGGCAGGGACTTCCCTGGTGGCGCGGTGGTTAAGAATCCGCCTGCCAATGCAGCGGACATGGGTTCGAGCCCTGGTCCGGGAAGATCCCAAATGCGGTGAAGAAACTAAGCCCATGAGCCACAACTACTGAGCCCGTGTGCCACAAACTACTCAAGCCCGCGTGCCTAGTGCCCACAACAAGAGATGTCACCGCAATGAGAAGCCCACGCACCACAACGAAGAGCAGCCCCCACTTGCCGCAACTAGGGAAAGCCCACACACAGCAACGAAGACCCAACACAGCCAGAAATAAATAAATAAAATTAATAAATTTTTTAAAAAAAGAGAGAGAGAGGGACACAGAGACAAGTGTGCATTTGGTAGCAATGGACACCGTAAGAAAACATTCCCCAAATTCAATTAATGATGAAAGTCCATGTGACTGTTAATGGTTTGAAATCTATCATATTAATACTTTATGGTACTGAATAGGATGAATGGCCTTTTCTGGCTGTTTCCACTCACCAACCTTAATTAAGCAGCTTAAATCGCTTCACTTTCTAAGCCTCAGTTTCCTACCTGTAAAATGAGTCTTCTGAGATACGAGGCGTGAAATGTTTAGCCATGGACTGGCAGATCAGACAAACCCAGTAAAGACTAGTTGCTGGCTTCCTATTAATGAATAAGCTATAATTAGTTGTCGTGGCTGTATTTTAAGGTATATGCTAATTTAAGAGTGGGGGAAAACCTATTCATTTTGTTGCCAGGGTAACTCCTAGCATAGCTTCCCGCAAACATGCTAAATATCTCCCTTTCAACAAACTGGCCTCTCAATACCCATTCAGCACAAATAAGGCCACATTTGAGTCGCACATGGGCCCTACTTAGCATTCTCAGCCAGGCCACTGGAAATCTGCAGTTCGTTCAACTTTCCCATGAAGCTGAACTGCATTGAGCCTGGTGCAGGGTGCACAGAAGTGAAGTTCACCCAAGGTGTTAAGAGAAAGTTTCTTCTTGTGCAACAAGCCAGTCTGTGGAACAGATGTTTATCTAACCAAATGATGTTCTTTTTCTCTCCCGGCAACAACAGAATGACAGCAATGAATGGGCCAATCAAAATCTGAAAACTGTACATTCTTCCGTTGAGGCTGCTTCTGCGAAGTGGCCATGTGAGTCCTGCTGTCAGAGTCTCGGCCCGTTTAGCAACGTACCGCGTGGGCAAATAGTTTTTAGTAAATACTTTCCTCAGCTTAGATTTTAAAAAACAAGCAGAGGTTTTCAAAGAGAGGTACTCAAGAAAACAGTGTGCTTGCTGCTTTTGCATGTATACACAGCTGCCCGTTTTTCTTCCTTCTATTAGGGGACTAGAAAACAGCAGGGACTGGGGTGGCAGGGGCTCTGCTGCCCCTGGGGCGCCGGCAGGAGGGGGCCCGGCAGTGGGCTCTCATGCACACGCTTCCAGCAGAGGGCGCCGGCCCCTCTGCAGGGGAGGGGTCTTCAGGCACAAGTGGGCGGCAGGAGGAATGAGTGGTCGCACTGGTCTGGGGCGGTGGGGAGGGGAGGGAAGGAGACCAGCCACTTACATGGTCCCTGCAGCCCATTACCAGCTTCCAAAGAGCTCATGTCACTTTTTCTCTTACCTACTGGCCTGACTGAAAGAGTAACAGAAATTTCAAAATTGGGGATGCTTGCGGTTTTCCTTTGAGTGTCTAGACCACTGCTAATGGCCTCATCACAGATTTTGCATTTAGCTCTCGTGATTCAACTATACACGTCCATCTGAGCGAATGAAAGAACACTGAACTAGACGTTCCTTTAAGACATGTGGGCACTTTTTTTTTTTTATCCTGCACATCCAGCTAAACCAATTAATCCTGGATATCGGTACAAGCAAGGTCCTTATACATCATCGGGTAGATTGTTTTACAAATGAGTCCAGCCCAGAGGACCAGGTTTCTGGCTGGTGTACATGTCATATCCACCTCCACGTTCCCTGAGGAGTGCAGCACAGGGGCTGACGTCCGGCTGCATTCGGGAGACATTTATTAGTAGCCCACAATTAACGGTGGCATCTGATGTGAAGTTGGGTCACTGGATGCCTTAGCACTTGTTGGACAGGAGTGAGCTTACCTGGGGAAAGCATCAAAGCAGTACGTTTTCCTGGTATCGGGAAAAGCCACGCGCAATCCAGACATCAGAGGCGAATGGAGAATTACGGCTGCACACTCGTACCTGGAGGCCAGGTCTACCGTGGGGACAGTCCCGATGCTCTGACCATAGAGGATGATGTTCTCGGGGCTTACGCCATACCTGGAGAAATCAGAGGGCATGGGCCGTTAGCTGATGTGTGAAAGAAAAAGAGAGTGAGACCAACACCACAGTATCATAAACTCACAAAACTCCCACACCTGCCAGTTTAGAACCACGTCATCTCACGGGTACCCTTTAGCTGAAGATGGATGTGAATGCCACAAAAATGTTAGGGGCCTATCTCAGTACTAAGTGACTGAGATTCTGTCCTCCACAACTTTTGCAAAAATAATGAACACGACATTTTTTTCCGGAAATTAACTATATGAATGCATCATAAACTTCATTTCAGTGTTCCCAGAGCCATTTCATTTCCTACTCTCCCCTCCTGAGTTTCTTTGACCATCCTAATGTATTTCTGAAATAAAAACAGAAGCGTGTTTGCTAGATCATAATATTATTAGAGTCCTTTAAGTGAGGTTTTAATAAAGTAAGAAAGAAATTAACATTTATCATCAGGAAAAGGTAATGGGAGACAATTAATTTAAGGCAAATATATTTTCTATAGCCTCTCCTTGGGGTTTAACCCTTCCGAGTCTTTCAATCCATCAACGTTCTCCCCCTCCACTGTCCACCAAGGTTTAGTTGGGTAAACAGCTGTGTGGAATACAGGCTTCATTTCCTGGCCTGCCTGGCAGCCTGGTGTGCAGACAACTAAGCTTTGGGTGTGGGCTGTGAGCAAAAGTGACATGTACAACCTGCAGGTCCTAACTTTAAATAGAAGGCTCCATGCCCTCCCCTTCCCGTTGGTGGGGAGGAGACGTGATGGTGAGCTACCCTGGCCCAAGCAGAAGAACGAGCACCCCAGATGTGATGAACAAAATAGACGAATCCCAGGAAAACAGGTACGCTACATCTGAACCTACAAAGGATATCCAGAATATATTAAGAGTACGTAGAAATAAAGAAGAAAAAGACAGACAAAAGAAATGAAGACGTATCGCAGAAAAGAAAACATGATGCCTAATAAACACGTAAAAAGATGTGATGCTCGGGCTTCCCTGGTGGTGCAGTGGTTAAGAATCCGCCTGCCAATTCAGGGGGCACAGGTTTGGGCCCTGGTCCGGGAAGATCCCACATGCCGCGGAGCAGCTGGGCCCATGCGCCACAGCTGCTGAGCCTGCGCTCTGGAGCCCGCGAGCCACAACTACCAAGCCCGCTGTGCCACAACTGGTGAGGCCCACGCACCTGGACCCCGTGCTCTGCAATAGGAGAGGCCACCGCAGTGAGAAGCCCGTGCACCTCAACAAAGAGTAGCCCCCGCTCGTTGCGACTGGAGAAAGCCCGTGCGCAGCAATGAAGACCCAACGCAGCCAAATATAAATAATGATAAATTTAAAAAATACAAAATAAAAAAAAACTTAAAAAAAAAAGATGTGATGCTCAACCTCGTTAGTATGTGAACATGCAAATTAAATCCACAATTTATTTTTTTACACCTAAAAGAAAGGCAAAAACTAAAAAGTCAGACAGTGTCAAGGGACATAGCAAGGACATGGAAAAGTGGAAGTCTGTGACATTGCTGCAGGAATATAAATTGGTATGAGCCCTTGGGAAGATAATGTGATATTATCTGGTGAAGTCGAAGGCTATAACCCAACGATTCCAACTTCTTTGCATAAATACCCACTGTAGTTTACAGGGCAGTAGGACGTGCTTTCTTTTTTGGCTGGGTAATGTAGTTTATTATTATTATTACATTATTATTTTTAATTGAAGTCGTGGATTTATAATGTGCCAACTTCTACTATACAGCAAAGTGACTCAGTTATACACATATACATTTTTTTTTAATTTTTAAAAAAGATTTGTTTATTTTTGGCTGCATTGGGTCTTCGTTGCTGTGCTTGGGCTTTCTCTAGTTGTGGCGAGCGGGAGCTACTCTTCCTTGCAACGCACATCCTTCTCATTGCAGTGGCTTCTCTTGCTGCGGAGCACGGGCTTCAGGAGTCGTGGCTCACGGGCTCTAGAGCACAGACTCAAGTAGTCGTGGCGCACGGGCTTAGTTGCTCCGCGGCATGTGGGATCTTCCCGGACCAGGGCTCGAACCCATGTCCCCTGCATTGGCAGGCGGATTCTCAACCACTGCACCACCAGGGAAGTCCTATACATTCTTTTTTTAAGATGTACTTTTCCATTATGGTTTATCCCTAGGACATGCCTTCTGGTATCAGCCTTCAGTGAAAGGAACTGTCAGTCTAGAGCTGAGGCGGGTGGCAGGATTTCACTGAGCTGACTCCCCCTCAGGCTCCCTCAAACTTCACAGGAAAATGGGGGCCCTTAGGAAGGAATCTGGGGAGGGAATGGCTATTTCTGGCTGGTAAGTGCTGTTCTGTTCTTTACAGAGAGGCGACATCTGGGCTGTGCCGTGAGGGGCGGACAGGAGCTGAACACGTGGGGATAAAAAGGACTGTCGGTAAGCAGCATGAAGTCACACAGGGCCGGGGTGGAGTCCAGGGAGCAGCTTGGGGGGCTGGAGGGCTGAGGCGAGGCTGGGCAGGCCATCAGGGGGAAGATAAGGAGGTAGAGCTTGTCCTGGAGGAGGTGAGGGGCCACTAGAGACGTTCAGGTCAAGGGGACAGGAACAAGGCTGTGCTTCGTGAAGATTCATCTTCCTGCAGCACGCAGGGCATGACAGAGCATAAAAAGGGAGCAGAGAGATACGTAAGGGACTATTAAGAATCCTACAGGGAAGAGGAAACAGGAATGTAAAAATCGAAGACAAACAAACCAACAAAAAAGAGATGCTCTCTCCTCCCCAGACGCAGGTAGGAAATCACCTGCTCAGAACGAGGATGCACCCTCTCTTTCTAAAGGGAAGTTTCTGTGTGGCCCCAGCCCTTTGAACTTTGACACCGTCTAATACATGTGCCTGTGGAGGAGGGTCCCAAGATACACGTCTTGTCTGATGTTCTTGCCTGGGCTTCATTTCAGTTGGAAGAACAGGTTATTAAAAAATGGTCAGCAAAAGGAGTTTTGACAGAAGGTTTGAGGAAGGAACTCATGTCTGCAGCATTCTGTGCCTTAAATCCCTAGGTCAGAGACCATAGCTTTTAAAACATATATCCCTTCAATCAGGATGAAATGATGAGAGATGTGAGAAATGAACCCTGTTCTAGTGCATCAGCAGGCCATCACCCAGGGTGATGCTTTTTACTGGAGGAAAGTTACCCCAGGGACCTCCCTCCACTGTAACTGCCACGGAATTCCTTCTTTGATGGACTAGGAGGTCCATTTCAGTCGAATTTAACTGAGAGTTCAAAGTCCCTTGGAGGGGGAAGTATAAATAAGATTAGGGGGCTTCCTTGGTGGCGCAGTGGTTGAGAGTCCGCCTGCCGATGCAGGGGACACGGGTTCATACCCCGGTCCGGGAAGATCCCACGTGCCGCGGAGCGGCTGGGCCCGTGAGCCATGGCCGCTGAGCCTGCACGTCCGGAGCCTGTGCTCCGCAACGGGAGAGACCACAACAGTGAGAGGCCCGCGTACCGGAAAAATAATAATAATAAATAAATAATAAGATTAGGGGTCTCCTTCTCCCCCCACAATTTGCAACAAAAGTAGGCTATGACATCCCAAAGCACGAGGGCCATCGGATGCTGCATGTGGTGGGGTGTGGGGGTCAGAAAGCACCTGAAGGTAAGAGTACCTCCAAACCTCACATTTGAAGTGTAGGCTCTTTCCACAGTGGCTGTCCCGTGGCAGGATATTTTGCTACTAATGATAAACAAATAGATCATAAATCAAAAAAGAAAGAGGAAGGGGAAAATGAAAACTGAATGCAGTTATTGAAGGACAGAGGATTAAGAGATGATTAATACTAAAAATCAAAAATAAAGCAGAAGACTTCCGTATTGAAATGGCATCAGACTTGCCCTTACCTTCTTTGATCAAATTTGCGGAATGATGAGAATCACATAGGATAACCTATCCCAGTAATGAGTATTATCGTTATAGTCGAACCTATTTTCTTGGCATCTTTTTTTTTTAACATCTTTATTGGAATATAATTGCTGTATAACAAAGTGAATCAGCTATGTGCATACATATATCCCCAAACCCCTCCCTCTTGCATCTCCCTCCCACCCTCCCTATCCCACCCCTCTAGGTGGTCACAAAGCACTGAGCTGATCTCCCTGTGCTATGTGGCTGCTTCTCACTAGCTATCTATTTTACATTTGGTAGTGTATATATGTCCATGCCACTCTCTCACTTCGCCCCAGCTTACCCTTCCCCCTCCCCGTGTCCTCAAATTCATTCCCTACGTCTGCACCTTTATTCCTGTCCTGCCCCTAGGTTCTTCAGAACCTTTTTTTTTAGATTCCATATATATGTGCTAGCATACGGTATTTGTTTTTCTCTTTCTGACTTACTTCACTCTGTATGATAGACTCTAGGTCCATCCACCTCACTACAAATAACTCAATTTCATTTCTTATTATGGCTGAGTAATATTTCATTGTACATATGTGCCACATCTTCTTTATCCATTCATCTGTCAATGGACACTTAGGTTGCTTCCATGTCCTGGCTATTGTAAATAGTGCTGCAATGAACACTGTGGTACATGACTCTTTTTGAATTATGGTTTTCTCAGGGTATCTGCCCAGTAGTGGGATTGCTGGGTCATATGGTAGTTCTATTTTTAGTTTTTTAAGGAACCTCCATACTGTTCTCCATAGTGGCTGTATCAGTTTACATTCCCACCAACAGTGCAAGAGGGTTCCCTTTTCTCCCCACCCTCTCCAGCATTGATTGTTTGTAGATTTTTTTTTTTTTTACGGTACGCAGGCCTCTCACTGTTGTGGCCTCTCCCGATCCGGAGCACAGGCTCCAGACGTGCAGGCTCAGTGGCCATTGCCCACGGGCCCAGCCGCTCCGTGGCATGTGGGATCATCCCGGACCGGGGCACGAACATTGGCAGGCGGACTCTCAACCACTGCACCCCCAGGGAAGCCCTTGTTTGTAGATTTTTTGATGATGGCCATTCTGACGGGTGTTTTTCTCAGTATCCTGATACTGT